CAGGGGGCAGGTAAAACCAACTGAGGAGTGTTATTTAGAATGTCCATAAAATTTGCAGCCACTTCAGGGGTTAGACGTCGTTTCTTCACAGTTCTCACAGAGGTCTCCTGTTTAACAAAACCAGTGATTTTAAAAAACACACAATAGTGGTCAGAGATAGCCAGGTCAACAACAGAGGACACACCCGCACTCAGGCCATAAGTAATGACCAGGTCGAGGGTGTGCCCTCTGTTGTGCGTCGGCTGTGTGACATGTTGAGTAAAATCCATGTAATTTAAAATACTTACAAACTCGCAGGTAAAATGGTCTGATGGGTTGTCAAAGTGGATGTTAAAATCACCGGTTAAAACAATCCTATTATAGGAATTGTATAAAAAAGATAAAAACTCTGAAAATTCATTGATAAAACGGCTGCACTTTTTTGGTGGCCGATAGATGGTTACTGCTAAAATTTCGGGGCTGCTAAAAACAAGGGCATGATACTCAAAACTTGAGTATTGGTTAAAATTAATGGTTTTGGTGGCCAGGGTGTTTTTCCAAATTGAGGCTGTGCCACCACCTCTTCTTCCTTCTCTTGTTTTAAAAGCAAAGCTAAAATCGGGAGGGGAGGCCTCTGTGAGAACAGCCGGAGCATCCGGACCCAGCCAGGTCTCAGTTAAAAACATAGCATCCAGTTTGTGTTGTAAAATCAAATCATTAATGATAAAAGTTCTATTTAAAAGAGAGCGTACATTTAAAAGAGCAAACCTGATGGTGGATGGAGAGTCATTTTTGTTTGTAGTGAGGGGAGAAGATGATGTGGAGGAGCAAAGGGCAACAGGGATGAGGGTGTTGAGGGACGGTTTCCGGAGTATGGACGGTCTGTAGGGGCGGGGTCTGGACAGAACTGAAATTCCTTGTTGGGGGGGGGAGCAGGGACTGATGTTGGAGTCCAGCGGGGCAGGAATGATGTGGGATGGAGTGATGGGTTGTCAGAGGTGCGGGGGACGGGATTGAACTGAGTGGGTGATGTTTGAAATCAGGTACCGGGTGCCGAGTTTATTGATATGGAGTCCATCGGGTGTGAAGAAGGGGTGGCGGTTCCAGAACAAATTAAAATTGTCAATAAAACCAAAGTTGTGCTGCTGTGATGATTTTTGAAGCCAAGTGGTGAGTGATAGTATCCTGCTAAAACGTTCCACGCCCCGGTTCAACGTGGGCAGAGGGCCAGAGATAAAAACACTTTTTCCGGTTTTTGATAAAAGGTTAAAAAGGTCCTTAAAATGGAGTTTGGTGATTTCAGATTGGCGGAGTGCAGCATCATTTGTACCAACATGAATTATGATCCGGGTTATTGTGGGGGGTGCTGTCTGTAGAAGTGCGGGTAGTTTAGTGAGGATGGTAGGGACAGTGGCTCCGGGAAAGCAGTGCGTGATGGCATTGAAGAACTTACAGTGTTTGATGATAGAGTCCCCCACCAAGAGTGTAGTTGGTGCGAATAGAGGTCGTGGAGGGGAGGGAGTGACTGGAGTAGGACCCGGGGGAGAGCAGGGGACAGGAGAGCGTTGGGATGCGCCCGGAGCAGAGCTGCTGCGAGCCCCGTGAGCTGCAGTGGAGCAGGAGGAGGGAGCCGGAGACCGAACCGGCGCCCCTGCAGCGGGGTTGGTGGTGGTGGTAGTGCGGGCGGTTGTGGGAGGGCCATGCACCGGGCGGAGAGATCCTCCAGCAGGCGAGACAGCCTCCGCGGGGGAGCTCCGCGCTGAGATAAAGCGCAGAGACCCCCCCGCGGGCGAGGCAGCAACTACGGGAGGACTCTGCGCCGCGGCACGGCGCAGGGACCCCCCCGCGAGCGATGCAGCGTCTACGGGAGGACTCCACGCCGTGTCAGGGCGCAGAGGTCCCCCCGCGGCCACCTCAGCGTAGGACCTGCTTTGTGTCTCGCCTCTGGGGATTCCCTCCGCGTCAGAGCGCACGGACCCTCCCACAGCAGGGACAGCGCTCCCGGGGGTATCCGGTGCCGCGTCGGGGCACAGAAATCCCCCCGGGGCTTCCCGCAGTTGGTCCTGCGTGACACCCGGAGAGCCCCGCGCTGTTTTAGAGCGTGGGAAGCTCCCCGAGCGTCTGCGCACAGCCTCCTCCACCAACCTGCGGCGCGAGGACGCCGTGGATGTCGTGTGGCCTCCAGGCCTCTGCTCCACGCCGCTCTGGGTATGGGCAGCAGGCTCCGGGACTGAGGAGGAGGGAAGAGCACCAAGAGGGACAGCTGCAACCGGCGAGCGTGAGGTAAGCACCGGGGTAGAGCATGATGAGGGGTGAGGACAGGCGATTGGATCCCAGAGTGCAGTGTCGTGGAGCTGTGATTGTCTGAGTACGGAGAGGGATATTTGCTGTGACTGTTTGAATGATATGTCCATGAAATGTTCCAGAAGTTTCTCTTTATGTATGAGTTCGGTGGATAGTTCTTTGACAGTGCGCTGAAGTTCCTCGGGGGTCATGGTGTTTACAGGTTTGGATGGGAGGATTGAAGCCAGTTGTGATTTGTATATCTGTTTGTATGAGTTCGCGGGGGGAGCATCGGTGTCCATGGTGATGTGTGTGGGCAGGCTGGTTACCGGTAAAAGGCTGATAAACAGTCCTGTTAAAAGTGACAGTAATCCTTTTTTATGCAGTCTGTTAAAATCCGCTTACTCCGTCGAGTAGGGCAAATAAAACCAGTAAAAGAAACTTAGTTTAAAAATAAATCATAAAAAACGTGCAGCTCAAAAAAGGCTCCAAACAAATGCGTCCGCCATCTTGCGCCCATCCTTCTAGTTGGACACTAACTGTCCAACAGACCCTCCTGCATTGGCAAGGAAAAACTCATCAGAAAAACCCAGCGGGAAAAAAGTGAGAAACCTCAGGGAGACCCACAATTGAGAAAGGGATCCGCTCCACACAGACGGACGGGCTATAGATCAAGGACCTAAGCTACAGAACGTGGACCAGTGGCCTCTGAACGTGGACTGGTCCGGGTCGGGAATGAAGCACTCCCAGGCGGGTCGGGCAGGGCAGTCCATAGATTTTAATCGTTATAATCAAAATGGTACTTCGATAGAAAGAGTCACTTCCTATAAAAACCTATGGGGGCTTGGCTTGATACGGTTCAGTTTAAAGTCAAGGTTATTACAAAAATAAATGATGTATTGCTTGCTTGCAATCACGTGACGCATAAACTTCCGGTTGACGAAGTGGTGGTCAGGCCAGCAAGAGTTGCTGTTGATATGTGGAGAAAATGCGACTCTTCCGAGTATTTTTTTGCTTTATTGGATATTTCATGACACTTTGAAGCTACTGTGGTGAACGTTCTAACCCATCATTCCAACTATATGCACAAGGCAGAATTTTTCCACTACATGTTTTGGTAATATCAAGGTTGCAGCTACTGGCACCGCGGCAAATGCTAATATTTGCTAATATGCTAATAATGCTAATAAGTCTCAATTCCTCCGCTGTATGTCACTTACATTCTGTAACGTCTTTGTTTATGCTGCCTCTACCATCGACAATAAAACGTGTCTTCTGTCTGAATTAAAGACAAGATCATAGACTGTCATTTTCTTCACTTTAGATTCTAATCCACAGCTAGTGTTACAATCAAGCTTTTGCACTGCTAAACAAATGAAGGTTTGGAAAAACATGGATGCTGCAACTTTTCCGTCTGTCTGTGGTTTTAAGAACTCAGAGTTAAGGTCCTGAAGGACAAATCCTGCATCGTTACGAGCCGTGTAAGTAACAATTGGTATGAACTTGTCATTCTCAACAAAACAATGCGTCTGTGGCTGTGTTCTTTTCAGGTCAAACATTCACAGTGTTTATCTAAAATGCCAACTCATACCTGAAAATTAATTCAATAAAGATGGGGATGTAATAACTGCACATTGTGACTCCATGGCTGGGTAAATAAATAATCCTTCAAGGTAAAAGCGTTTGCTAGTGAAATGTTAGCGAGCCACTAAAGTATCCATTAGAGGTTTCATGATTCGATCGCTTAGAAAACTTAAAACAACACATGCAAAAGGCTTATTCAGACACGCTGCTCTAGTGAACAACTAGCTCGGCTGACCACCACTTGATACGCATATGTAATGAGGCGGACGTGACGTCAATTGCAAGCAAGCAATTCCATAGAATATACAGAAAATACATTGTTCAGACTGTTCTCTCTTTTCTAGATAATTTAATATTTATATCCAGCTTCATTCACTGCTCTAGTGCTAACATACAATGTTTAATTCTGCCCTTCATTTTATCACAAGAGAAACTCATCACTGTAAACTATGAAAATGTAGATTGGCCTTCACTGTCTGATCCAAAAGATCAACGGTGAATTCAATTTATTCATGAAGCACTTATTGAACAACTCCCTGACTATAGCTGACATGTTTGTTCAACTGGACCTGACTGAACACAAAGCTAACGTTACAGAAATATTGGATTTTAAAAACGGACAGAAGTGAACTCAGGAGAAAGGCTTTTAAATATTTAGCTTGTTCAAACTTTTCCCCAAATGATGTCACTTTGTACTTTAATAATTTGGTCTTCGAAATGCCATCCTTCCATCCATTTTCTTCCGCTTCATCCGTTGCCGGGTCGCGGGGGCAGCAGTCTAAGCAGAGACGCCCAGACTTCCCTATCCACACACACCTCCTCCAGCTCATCCGGGGGGACCCAAGGCGTTCCCAGGCCAGCTGAAAGACATAGTCCCTCCAGCGTGTCCTGGGTCTTCCCCGGGGCCTCCTCCCGGTGGGACGTGCCAGGAACACCTCCCCAGGGAGGTGTCCAGGAGGCATCCGGAACAGATGCCCGAGCCACCTCAACTGGTTCCTCTCGACGTGGAGTAGCAGCGGCTCTACTCCGAGCTCCTCCCGTGTGACTGAGCTCCTCACCCTATCTCTAAGGGAGCGCCCAGCCACTCTGCGGAGGAAGCTCATTTCGACCGCTTGTATCCGCGATCTTGTTCTTTCGGTCATTACCCAAAGCTCATGACCATAGGTGAGGGAGGGAACGAAGATTGACCGGTAAATCGTGAGCTTTGCCTTTCGGCTCAGCTCCCTCTTTACCACAACGGTCCGATACAGCGACCGCATCACTGCGCACGCTGCACCGATCCGCCTGTCAATCTCATGGTCCATCCTTCCCTCACTCGTGAACAAGACCCCGAGATACTTGAACTCCTCCACTTGAGGAAGGACCTCTCCACCCACCTGGATGGAAATGTATAAACTTAATTTAAATGTATAAAACTTAAATTGAAATGTATAAACTTAATTTAAACTGTGCTTGTGTGTATTTTACTGAAAACAAGAGTGGTGCACTTGTTGAGCCCTCTCTGGATAAATAAAGATAAATAATGGTCTCTCAATGAGCGCCGACAGAAGCGCAGCATAATAGGAACAGATAACTAATTTGGATAAACACATTTAAAAGAAAAAAAAGAAAAACATTATCAGGTCTAGACTTATTCAAAAGAGTCTTATAGCGCTGTTTTCTTACTGTGAAGATTCGCTTCTTTATTAAGCTAAAGAAATATATTTTTGTTAGGGTTAGGCTTTTTTTATATTCACTTATCTTGTGAAATACATATTCCTACATTTCTGTAACATGTGAAGCAACACTCTCCCTTGTGGGACGAATAAAGAATCTCTTCCTCTTTTATTATTATTAATATTATTATTATTATTATTATGATTATTAGTATTATTATTATTAAAACTTTCTGGAAATGTTTAATTGAAATTTCAAAGTATATTTTGTCATATTTTGCAAGTGTCCAACCAACCATTTGTCTTGTCGCCTCAAGTACCACACACAAAGTGAAAGCCACACAAGACTGAAGGACTGAGACTAAAGACAAGGAGGGCTTGGAGATAAGAGAGGGGAGGGCAACACAGAGCCCAGAGACCAGAGCGGACCACGAGGAGCCCAGAGACCAGAGCGGACCACGAGGAGCCCAGAGACCAGAGCGGACCACGAGGAGCCAAGAGACCAGAGCGGACCACGAGGAGCCAAGAGACCAGAGCGGACCACGAGGAGCCCAGAGACCAGAGCGGACCACGAGGAGCCCAGAGACCAGAGCGGACCACGAGGAGCCAAGAGACCAGAGCGGACCACGAGGAGCAGAGACTGTGTAAGAACTCCTGCTTCATGTTTTTGCATTTCTCAGCTCAGCCTTCGATCAATATGTTTCCCCAACACTCCATCCACTCCTAATGTAACTTCCCACTAAAGGTCAAGGTCTTTAGTCAGACAGTATTGTTGCTACCTTTTATAACATGTGACACTGGTGCTGCTGGGGCTTTTATAAAATAGCTTACACCCATATTGTGAATCTAAAATGACATTGTGCACAAATTATGTTCCACTGAATTAAATACAACATACAAATACGAGCGCTGTCTCTATAATTGCAGATTCTGACGTATGACGTATTGAGAAACTTCTCTGTAGGAAACATGAGGAGCAGAGCGTGTGACTCAACACATAGTAAATCTGGGGTTTTCGGGACATGATTGCTCTTTGTAAAACAGCACCCAGAGTTACCCACTGACAGATTCTCAAGGGTCACGCGGGTTTGTTTTCACTGAGTGTGTTTCCTAATGCTTTGGTGGTCTCCTCAGTGAGTAACATCCCAGATGTGTCTGCTCCCCTCTTTATATCCTTTTCTAAAAAAGTTTTTTTCCCATTTACAAAACCATTGATCCAGCCCCCCAAAGAAATATGTTTTAATGTTATTGGATATTATTGGAATATTTTATGTGTACAATGTGAATCACTGTATTCTGAGGGAAATACATTTTTAACCAGATAGGAATTAAGGCCTGGTAAGATTGTGAGCCAAACAAGTGAGTGAGTCGGGAAAAAAACACCTGCTAACAGATATTTTATGAGACATTGGCATAATATTGTAAAAACATCAACAAAACTATTTCATATTCCCATCACTATAACAGCCTTCAGTCACTATATTTCAACTTTTATTTGTATCGACTTGTTGACTACTAAAGTAAATCTTTAGTGACAGCCTCCTACTGGAGTTGTCCTGCATAAACAAATAAATATGGACTCTATGTAACACTTTCTTAGCGACAACGGCACGTGCTTCTATGGGGAATACTAGACATTCTTGAACCTGCGAGCCGAGCGGACCCCTCTCACCCCCTGAGGTCATGACCTCATGCTAAATGGTCTGTATCAGGGTCAAATGGACACTTTGGGCTGAAGGGATATCCTGGACCAATATGGAGACATCATTGACATTTGTATTCAATATAGCTATGAATACATGTGTATTTATATATAATAAAATATTGCTACATTCACCTTCCGTGTGTGCTTATTCTCCCCTCAGCTCTGTCCAGGGAGCTTGAGGCAATGCAATAACAACCTCGAACAGGCAAAGACGAAAGCGGAAACTACCAAATACCTCCAGAGAGTAAGGCAAGTCCTAGGCCAACTCAATGGCAAGAACGCCCTGCCAGTGATCAGATACCCTCCAGGAATAATAAAGTGGCCGGATAGAAGGAGGCCGAGGACTAGTGAGTGTGAGCCACTGTCCAGGACAAAACATCCAAACTCCATAACTACATCAAGGAGATGGCCCAAATGATGACGTACTCAGTGAATGTCTCAGACAGTGGCGAGATGAGGAGGTGCTGGAGGAGAGCCCATCATGGAAGGACAAGCCCCTGTGAGATTTCATAACACTTTGAAGCAACTTTTGTTAAGGTTAAACTCATCATTCTATCAATGTGCAGAAGCCAGTACTTTTCCCTTGTTTTGTCTATCTGAAGGCCAAGCTACATGGCACCGTGGCAGCTGCTGATTGGAGGTCTCCATGCCTCCGCTCTGTGTAATACACTTGCATTCTCTTGTATCTGTGCTCGTGTACTTTGTTCGTGCTGTCTCTACCATCGACAATAAAACATGTCTTCTGTCTGAATTAATGACACGATCCCAGACTTTGTCATCTTCTTCACCCCTACACGGCATGTACCACCGGAGTATAGCAGAAGTGGCTGATCTCAAGAAGTCCTGTATATACAGTATATATATATATATATATATATATATATATATATATATATATATATATATATATATACCAATGGCTAGAAAGGGCTGGCCTACAGGACAGCACAGAGGCACTCATCATGGCTGCACAGGAGCAGGCCCTGAGCACCAGAGCAATAGAGGCCCAGATATACCACACCAGACAAGACCCAAGGTGTCGGTTGTGCAAAGAGGCACCTGAGACGATCCAACACATAACTCCAGGGTGCAAGATGCTGCAGGGAAGGCCTACATGGAACACCATAACCAAGTGGCTGGCATAGTGTACAGAAACATCAGTGCAGAGTATGGGCTGGAAACCCCAAGGTCTAAGTGGGAAACTCTTCCAAAGGTGGTGGAGAATGAGCGTGCGAAGATCCTGTGGGACTTCCAGATACAGACCGACCGAATGGTAATGGCGAACCAACCTGACATTGTGGTGGTAGACAAAGGGCAGAGGACAGCCGTGGTGGTGGACGTTGTACAAGTGTAATTTCATTACTGTGTATTAAACTGTGTAATGAAAACCTTATGATAAAAACAGTAGGGTCTGGTGCAATGCAGTCCTGCTGCCACTGTGAACACACATAACATAATATATACATTTTCCACATAAAACCATGTCATGGTTGGATCTTGATGGTTGAATGCCTGGCTTTCTCTATGATTTATTGCATGGAATGTACACACAATATGACACACATATAACACATGTGACTAATGCCATGTACGAACGAGAAAGTGACCTTTTCTTTTGAGCTTTACAACCTTTACGGAAGAATTAGGCTACTCTAAATTATAACAGAGTCCAGGAAACGTCTCATGGTTATGTTTTACCTGTATGCACTTCATGATGGTTTCATGGTAGGAGCTGGGATTTTAAAGACGTGGATAATTACTTTACCATGTCCATGGTGTAATGATCGTAAAAATACACTCTGTCATTGTAGTCGCCAACAGAGAAGACGATGTTGTAAAAGAATATTTTAGTTGAGTTTTCCTGTTTGTATTTTGAAACAAAAATTGAAGAGAGTTTTCAAAAGAACAGGCTGTAGAAGTTCTGTTCTGTTAGTGAGCAACATTAAATCATATGCATTTTGAACCATTATAGTTTATTTAGAAAATAAACTATTTTAGATTCTACATCATATCATGCATTATTTACTATAGTTTATTCTCATTCTAGCAGGTTCAATTGTGTTACTTTAGAATATAATTAGGTAAGTAGGTAGATTAGATCAGTCATTAGATTAGAGTCATTTTATCCTCAAAAAATACTCCCTATATAGTTTTAAATGACGGTATATGTTTTGGATGTGTGGTGCCTATCTAATCTGCTGCAAGATTCTTTTAGTTTATATTAATTTGATGGATGATTAAAATGTCTGTGAGGTATTTAGTGAGAATGCCATGGTACAGTATATGATTCTCATCATTTTATATGTCTGAGAATGACGAGCCTAAAGAGTGGAGACGTTCTTGCTCCTAAATCACCTAAACCTATTCATAATATGTTCAGTACTTTATAGTGCAAATGGTCAATTCAACATTATGATAAATAAATATGAAACCAGTCTGTTTAGGCAGCTGGAAATGGAAACACATGAAGAATGCTGGTACATATTTGAGCGGCCAAAGAAACACTTCTGTGTGATTATATCCTTCATCTGAACTGGGACATATGTCCCTGAGGTGAAAAGCTTGAGGTGATGATTCCAAATGGTTACATTTTATGAACTTATATTTCACAGCTGTTATCACCGCAGGCAGAGCAGTCTCATATGTACTCACATGGCAGAGGAAATCAAAGATGTGGTATGTGGACCTCTGATCCATCAAAGGAAGACATCCTCTTCATCACATCAGGGCCTGCAAGAAATATGGACGGAGGCCAATGTTTCACACACTGCACTGTTACAGATTATTTCAATATCTTTAGATTAAATGTGAGCAATGTAAGAAAGTAATACCAACAACATGTTTGTAAAACTGGGCCTGGCTATTGTGTATGACCGCTGGGAACTGCAAATTGTTGTCATGTCTGTAGGCTCTTAACCCACACATGTGAGTGTGGGGGAGGTTGGTTCGGCAGTCCGCTCCTGTCAGTCCGGCCCAGGGCAGCTGTGGCTAAATGCTGCCTTCATGTGCTCTGGTTAGATCCTTTCGATGTTATCTGGTAATTGCAAGTGTGTTCTGTTCAACTGTTTGTTGTCGAAAGTAAAACTAAACCTGGAGGCAGCTGCTTTCTAGTCTAGTGTATTATGTTTAAAATCCTGGATAAATTACTAGATTTGATTTGATTGAATTGAATTTTATTTTGTTTGATTGTTCATTTGACTAATGACAGATGTTACATTCACTGATTGTATAACAACCAAAAAAAGATTGGGCTGAAGCAACTTGCTAATGTACTTAGTCGAATCACAATATTTAACTTTAATTATTAAAAAGTGCCCTTTTTTTTTTTACAAATAGAATCTATGTGCTTTTGCAGGCGTTTCCCCAAATTTCTGAGCAGTAAAACAAATAGGAAAGAATATGATTATAGTAATGAATTAATAATTATTAGAATAAATAAATCACTGATTAATAAATATCAGACAAAAAGTTTTTATTGAGTGAGAAACTTTAATTTCGAGAGTCCTGCCATTCATCAGTTTCAAAACTCTCACCATCCGGGGTATTTCTGAAGGTCAACAGGGTACTTTATCTCGGGAACTCGGAGCTCATAATCATCTCCCAGTTCTCCAGTAGGAAATGTAGAAAATACGAGATCAGGGGCAGTGAAATTTTCCACTCGGCAAGAGGTATTTACCACAACTACCAGAGCACAACACTAGATTACCACCGTGTGTGGTGTGAGCGAGAAATACAATATTATTCAATATTATAAAACAACTTTCTGTATGTCTGTGGATAGCGCTGTGGAGATGAAGATCAGCCAATACTTACATTTATGCAACGTTTCCCCTGAAGCCCATAGTCATGACCATAAACTTGACACAGCAGTATTCAAAACCTGGACACTTTAGACTTATGCTTGGACCATAGAAATGGGACTTCCTGAGATCAACTATTTCCAATCCCACTTCACGTTCAAAACTGCGCTCTTATTTTGCGTTGCATTGCTGCCCTCTGTCGGAATTTAGGCTTACTGCAGTCTGAAAATTCCTATTTTTGTTTAATTATAACTTCTATTCATGTTGAATACTATTAAAACTTGAAATAGTCAATATTGATAGTATTAATAACATATTAACACTAGGACTCCCACAATTATGAAATGCTGCAAAAACAGTTTGTTGAAAGGGTAATGCTACAGAACAGGACCAGTCCGAGAGGAGTCCAGGACCAGTTCAGGACCTACCAACTGCCATATAAGAAAGAAACCAAAAACAATTACACAAAAGGAACATAAAGAACTTGAATTTAAGAATTTGTTTTTAAGAACATAAAAAAACAAACAAATGGTGATTTTATAAAAGAATGACATAGAACAAAACATATAGATACAAAAAAGTCAAAGTTGAAGGTGAAAGTTTAAATGTATACTCTGAGTAATTACACTTCCAAAACTAAAAGCTGTCAAATTGACTGGGGGTTCTAGTGTTGACCCTGACTGCTATGCCCAAACACTGGGGGTTTAATTGGCTTTGAGCAGCAGATAACATTTTATAAACAAAGAAAATCGAATTGATCCTGTTTATTTACATTATTTAACCACAAATGGTAAATGTATCAATTATCATCAACATCAACTCTGGTAAATAAAACAGTCTAAGTCAGGGATCTCACACTCATTTCCTCCTGGGGCCACATGAGGTCGAGTTTGGGTGAAACTGAAGTGTGCAAAATATGCTTTCTCTAATATAATATATCAGAGCAAATGGATCTACACATACGCAGAGATAGAATCAAACTGCCAAAATTTAGCTCCCTACATTTAAAACTGTACCATCTTCTTATTCTTTAACATTCACAGAGAAGTAAACATTTGGGCTCATAGAACGGAGATAAAAACAGGAAAACCAAGAATCAAGTGTTTGTGAAAAGTTGTATGGTCAATTTGTCACATTGTTGTATCTGTAACTATTTATAATCATGAGGTATTTTGACTCGACCTGATTATGAGTTTGATTATGTCTATGAATCAAATGAGTCCAGCTGCTTGCATTGAAACAAAATTGTACGAAAATCAATGTGGCTTTGTTTTGTTGACTGGGTTTAATAATATTTACTGCTTATTCCATTCAGGGCTCAAGATTTATGGTCAAATAAAAAGCATGGTTGTTTTCTTGCTAAAAAAGATCTTTAAAACTCTTGCTGTAATGCATTTGGACAGAGGGGGCGCTCGTCGCTGCTTCAGATGTCGTGAAGTGCATCAGAAGAAGAAAGGGCTCAAACATGGCGGCCCGCTTCATTACGTGTTCAGGGATAAATGCTCTATATTCTGCTGTGTGTGCTCCAAAACAGGTACTTCATATTGTTGTTATCATATTTGTCATTGTTTGATTGTTATTTACGGGCGAGGGGACGTGATTTTCCCCAAATGCCGTGTTGGAAATGTAAACATGCGACCAGTAGAGTTCATAGACATTTGACATTCAACAACAGTATAGACGTATCAAGTGTTACTTTTTGGTTGATTGTGATTGTGATTGAATGGGGACTGTTCTGACTGTGATCCTCTCTCTTGTGCAGGCCGTGAGGAGTTGTTGGGCGGCTGTAGAGCAGGTGAGGGGGTATTATGTGGACTGGAGAATGTTGCGTGATGTCAAGAGGAGACAAATGGCCTTTGATTATGCGGATGAGAGACTGCGGATCAATGCCATCAGAAAAAACACCATCCTGCCCAAGACACTACAGGTGCATGATTGTTGAACTGCATGAACTTTTCTAGCCGCTGTGTTTATGGTGTATTCATGAACTGCTTCTTAAGTGCTGCACAAATAGAGGAAGCATCAACAACTATATAACAACAACTATACTACACAAAAACTGCAAAACTCCACTGATTGAGAAGGCTCAATCCCCCACAGGTGTTAATCCATGAGCTGGAATTTATTGTGGGGCCAATCCATCATGCCTTGTAAGTAAGTAAGTAAGTAAGCTTTATTTATATACCGCCTTTCACAGACCAGAGTCACAAAGCGGTTTACAATTGTTATTTTTTTGGGCACTTGTCCTCTCACTCCAGACAGAGATGGGAGCGGGGTCGCCGAACAGGAGGCGCATGCCAGACCTATTGTACATATTTTTTAGTGGTAGGGGAAACCGGAGTACCCGGAGGAAACCTACGCAGACACGGGGAGAACATGCAAACTCCACTCAGAAAGGCCCTGGTCCGACCGGGATTCGAACCCAGAACCTTCTTGCTGAGAGCCACCGTGTCGCCCATGCCTTAACAATGGATCTATTGTTATCCATAACAAAATGCCTTAACAATATCCTTTCAGACAATTCTGAAATTATCAGGAGTCTTGACACCAGTGCATAATTACAAGAAATTGCAATGTGATTATTTTTTCTGATGTCACACTTTGTCAAATTCCAGAGTGAAGTGGAACGATAGGAAAAAAATCTACAGAAATTCTTATTTCTCTGAAAGATTTTGATTATTTGCTTTATTACAGACTCGTAGTCCAGAACAAAAATTAGACAAGACACAACACACTAGAAACAGACAACATAAAACAATATGAAAGCTATTGCATTAGCACTTTGATTTGCATTTGTGTTTTAATAAAAGTTCTTTTTCAAAGGCATGTGAATTGTATTGCCTTCACATGTTTACATGTTTCGGGCCATAATCAGAACTTTCACCTGCCTAAAGGACATGTAATTTGTCTCTGTTGGTACTTCCTGAGCTTTTACCTAAATAATATAAGCATACTGTTAAAATGGCCTTTTGACACTGAATTATGAGTTACAAATTATAATTCACAAAGGGAATTTGCATTTAAGGTAATTTTTTTGGTCTTTTAAATTCTAAAGTTTGATTAGGTGCACCAATGCAGCATTTCCAGGGAACTGGTGTTCTACAGCGTTACATTACATTACATTACTTAAATAATTGCAGTATTCGCAGTTTAGCAATTGCATCTGGTAAAATGTTGATTAAATTGCAATGGAATTTTGCAGCTCTGTTACAGCAGTCATAGATATTTTTATTATAAACGACCAATTCATTTTTTATAGCTTCTGAATGGATAGTTCCCAGTTTTTCATTATTGTATTTTATTGTTGCCAGCAGATTTTTGTTACCAGTTTTGACCTAAACATACTTTCTTAAATAATCAAAATGATGTACAGAGAAAGAGGTGGGGAGATGTTCATCATCTCATCACTGAAGCTGAATGAATATAAAAGCAAGACAACACAAGCCTATTCAAACATGCAGATACGTTGGCTGATCTAATTACACTTAAAAGCCCTCAACAACATGCATAATTTTAACCTGATTGAGTATGTGATGTTTTTGCAGGAGTTGGCAGATAAGGAAATCGCAGAATTGCCCAGAGACAGCTGTCCCGTACGGATTCGTAATAGGTGTATAATGACATCAAGACCACGAGGAGTGAAGCGGAGGTGGAGACTCAGTCGAATTGTCTTCCGTCACTTAGCTGACCACAACCAGATGTCTGGTATTATCAGAGCAAGATGGTGATGGTTTTACTGTGTTATGTATTTTGATGTATAAATTAAACATTAATAATGGCTCATATGTGTGTATATAAGTATTCTTCCTGAAAATAAACCGCTATTGAATTAAAATGTCTGGTAAAGTGAATTGACAAAGTGTAGCGTTGTTCTGAAAAGGTTTTGACACACTAACATTACTCACTTGGCAGATACAACTTGATGCAATTAGTGGTATTTGCATAAGATTAATTAAGGGAAATCATCATAAATAGGATTGGCGTGTTAGATAGATGGGTGGTGGGTGATAGATTTGTATTGTCTGTCCGAGCTGGTGACAGAAGTTTGGCTTAGACAAGATTCTGCATATTGATATTAAAAAAATTATACATTTAGAACGCATTAATGAAGCGCATCTAGAATCAAAAGTTGTGTGACTTGAGCTCCCTATGATTTAAAACAAAGAAAGTGTGTTTATGGGTGTGTGGGTATATCGCCTGCCTCTCAACAGGGGGCAGCACGTGTCGCTGTTACTGGTGGAGCTACTGGAACTGGGGCAGAAGAACAGTCACCGGCGCGTGCTCCTTCTGTTGTCGATCATTAAATAAAATCAGTGAAATGGATCTAAATGAGCAGGTAATGCACGTTTTTAAATAAATAATTTACGTTTTAATAATAATAATAATAATAATTATAATAGACAATGGTGTGTTCTTGATTTGGTGGATTACGTCACTTGTGTCCATTGATCAGAGAGCAGCTAGGTTAGCTTGCAGCAACTTCTGATTCCTCATGTTAGAAGTTATTATTATTATTGGTTGTATTAATTGAGTTGTTATTACTACGTGTAAGCTGACGGTTTAATTGCACTGCTTGTTTTTCTTTTAAAATCAAGTGGTTATGTGATGCAAAGTACTATCACACTCGGTACTATGCTGCCGAGAGCGTTGGAATATTCTAGAAACATAAACAATTCAGAGAGGACAAAAATCTAAAAACATTTGCCTAAAGCTGTGGATATCCTTTTGGCACGTAATAAGTGCATAGTATAGAAAATGAAAACAATTTGCAATTTGCACACACACAAATAAAACACAACCGTGCTTTAATACTATCCTGCTTTCTCTACTTCTGCTGTCGTGCAAAATAGATAAAACGGCGCTACTAACAAAAAAATACAAATAATACTTTTATAATCTAATCAATTTTAAAACCATGCGACCAATTATAATGAGATATTGTTGGTCATCAATGAGAAGTGGGACTGAACATTATAGACAAATGAATCATGTTTGGTGTACTTGATTATAAAGTTTTACTGGATATCAGCTGTATTTTTCTGGGAAATCTATATATTTTGTTGCTTATTTCATTCTTCAATACATCTTGAATGTTCATAATTTGATATCAATAGGATAATGAGTTTTTTGTTGATTTCTGTCAATGGTGTGTAATTGTATGACTATTATAAGACACACCTGTATTAGTTTTGATTGCAAATATAGTTGGAACATTACATAGCTTTTCTAAGTGTTGGATATTGTTCTTGCAGATCAGTCAGTTGGAGGCAGACTTGACAGAACTCGGGTCTCTGTTGGAGAAAGCCGAGAGAATCCGAGTTAAAGACGTGTTGACAAAAGAGATGAAGAAAGTGGAGAAAGATCTCTCAGACAAAAAACAACAGAAGGAGCAACAGGCACGAAAAGACGTGAATCCCTCAGTACCGTCTAAACTGGCTTACACAGTTAAAATCACTAACTATGGTATAATATTGGTTCTTTTACATTATTGAACTTAGATGCTTGGTCAAAAGCATACATTGAAATTTTCTTTATCTTGCAGCATGGGACCAGTCTGATAAATTTGTGAAAATCTATATAACTCTCAAGGATGTGCAGAAGATTCCATCAGAAAATGTTGAAGTCACATTTACAGAAAGGTATACTCATATTTCTTTGATTTTCATTATGAAGTACCAAATATTACTACTTTTAAAAAGATTAATTATTATTTATAGTTTATAAAGAATGTTCTTCATATCTTCAATTTTTACTGTTTTGGGGAAATGACAGCAGGTGGCGCCCTTGTCCCATGTTCTATAGCTATACTAGTATATAATGGAGCGTATGATTTGAAACATGTTGGAGGAATAAATTAATTAATTAAAGATGTACTGGAATTTGTGTTCACACATTTTTTTCTCATTTTCAGTTCATTTTCTGTGCTGGTAAAGGAACTGAATGGAAAGAACCACCAGATGACAATTCTCAACCTATTAAATCCGATCAATGACAAGGATAGTTATAAAAAGGTAATAAACATTACTATACCTGAGTTACTCAAAATGTAAAGTCATAATAATACAAGTGGTTTTTTTTAACAGATAAAAACAGACATGATTTTGATTATGTGCAAGAAGCAGTCCACTCAAAAGTGGGAATACCTAACCAAAGTGGAAAAGCAAACTAAAGACAAGGAGTAAGTTGTCTGTACACTCTCATTACATTGGATCTGCTCTAATAAAGACTTTGTTTCTGTTTCTGTCAATAGCAAACCAAAAGTGGAAGACAATGCAGACCCCAGTGATGGTCTGATGACCATGCTCAAGAAGATCTATGATGATGGAGATGATGAGATGAAGAGGACCATTAACAAAGCCTGGTCGGAATCCCAGGAGAAGAAAGTCCGAGGAGGAGCTGCAGACATGATGGACTTTTGAGCCTCTAACACAAGTGAGACATAGGAACGAACATTCTGAATGGTATATGGTCTTCACCGCACAGAAACAGAATATCACTTCTTAATGTTGCATTTGAACAGGTACTAACTGTGCTGAACAGGAACTGTCTCTAAATACTCCACTTATGTGTTCGTTGCTTTACAAAAATGCCATAAATAAATCAAAGCATTCCTAGATAAGAGCTGAATAACTTCATTCCAAAAATGTCCCAATATTTGTAAAAAAATCTTGATCTTGATGAAGTAATAGATTCTATCATGAAATATAAACCGATCTGTGTAGTACGTTTCATAAAAACAGAAATGTTTAATGTTAATGCGTGTTTGATAAGGGCCAAAATTCCATGTGTGTTCTTTGTTTAAAATATGGGCTTCATCAAAACAACACAATAAAACAAATTGTATTTAGCAATGTCTGTATAGTGTTATCTTCTTTCATTTCCGCCGTTGGTCCCTCAATGTTATTTTGGATCGACAGCAGGTGGCAGTCTTGTTCTCACACTACATTCTAGACTCACCAGGTGACTGGTTAGATACCACAGTAACATCCTCTACGTTGAAACAGATTCAGACTCAACTTAATGACCAAGTTTACTGTTTGTGCCCGTTCATATCCATTGCTATTAGAACGTCTCATCCAGTGATCCAGGAATGAAGGTTGGCATTTGAACCTCATCTGAATTTGGCCCCTTCCCCACAGCCAGCTCAGATCACCTTTTGACAGTAATAGATCTCATAACAGTAATAGAGGTGCCCTGTTCGGAAGGCATATCACTGAACCAAAACAATGAATTATTGTCTGTACTCTGAGAAGACCATGTTTAGTCTTGTAATCTACATTTCAGCAGGCTCTCCCATAGGCAAGTTTAATCATATAGCACAGTTCATACATGAGGAAACTCAAAATGCTAAACAAAACAAGATAAAAACAATCTGACAGGGCATTACAATCCTAAATATTAACATTAAGAAGAGTGAAGATACAATCCCTCAGTAGTATGCACAGCTAAACAGAATGGTTTTTAGCCTGGATTTGAACAATGTCAGTTTAGAAGCCTGTCTCACATTTTCAGGAAGACTGCTACGGATTTTAGCTGCATACATCTGAACAGCTGCCTCCTCATGGGCACCAGCAGGAGGCCAGTCCCTGTGGATGGATAGCTTTATTTCAGACTAGTCCAGAACACAAAAATAGACAAGACACACTAGAAACAGACAACCTGTGCTCCTCTGAGTCAGTTGTTCACATAGCACAAACATGTATACACGCATAACATAGCCTAATCTTTATGGCTCTTTTCGCTTTTAGTTTTCACTTTTAGCACGCTGATGTGAACATATCTAGACCACGTGAGCCCGCCCCCTCGTGACGTAGCTCCTATAAAAGCCGTGGGTGCTGCTCGCGCACGCACCAGATGCAGTCGGGTTGTTGTCTGTGGGTGAAGCGGTGCAGGGCCAACCAACGAGAGACTATTGAAGCCAAAGGGACAAATACTTTTAGCACTTGACTGACTGACAACAGCACCGCGGCGCCCTATGGATACAGGCTGTTTCTCGGCGGCACAGCGTATCTCTTGCTACAACATGAACGCGGATTTATTCAAGCCAGTGTCGGAGCGCGGACCCTCGCAACCAGCCCCGGCCAAAACCAGCAGGAGTAAAGGCGACCAGAACAAACCCGAGGTCGCCCAGGTGATCACGGACCCAAAATCTGGAAGATGTTACAGCAAAGGAAAGCTTTTGGGAAAGGTACGCGTCTCATTTTTTTAAGGCACACTGTTCCTTCGTTGGTTAAGGCACTACGTTCGAGCCGCTTGCTTTTCTATGGTTCATGATCGCCTCACATTGTTGACCAGGTGTGTAGTTGTTTCATGCAGAAAAGACAAAAAAACCCTCGTGGCGAATAAGGCTGATTTCTCCATGCTGTGTGCGCGTCACTGAATGAATCAGACGCAAGGTGTGCCCATGATTGGCACCACCTCACTCCACCATACGATTCATATTTTCATCAATGAAACTGTTGCGTGTCATGATGGTAATCCTGATGCAAGTGAATGGTTTTGTCTGGAAAGGCTACTGTCACGTCCAGAGCGTCGTTGTGTCAGTGGCACGCAGAGCTATAGGACTTGTTCATGTATGGCATTGGCAACATGTTGCTTTACATCCACGTACTGCATCAGGCACGAAGCCAAGATTGTTCTATTCTCCCTGCCGCAGAGCTAGGAACGTCTACCGTCAATTTCACGGTTAATGAATGCAGTACTAGCCAGTCTGCTTCATCCCATGCACGCAAGCTCAGTGTATGACATTTGGCCAGTGCATTTGTAATTGCGAACCACATACACACTGCTATATTTCTAGAACGTGCAAATGCAGCTCAAGGTTACAAGAACACGTTTTGTGATGGTGATGGCTTTAACATGTTGACTATTTGGATATTTGGTGTGATACTGTGACTTTTTCTGCCTAAATCGCCATGTTGGATGCTTTGATCAGTGCATTAGAGGATGACTAGGTGTTCTACATGCTACATGTTGTTGACCAGTTGTTTTATATTTTTCTTCTAAAGGGTGGCTTTGCAAGATGCTACGAAATGACAGACCTCTCCAACAATAAAATGTACGCAGTTAAGGTCATTCCACAGAGCAGGGTGTCCAAGCCACATCAGCGAGACAAGGTACACATATGTGCATTTCATATTCATTCATGATGTTTAATTCGAGGGAATGTGGACTAACTCGAGATTTTTCAACAGATCACAAATGAAATTGACCTGCACAGATCCCTCTCACACAAACATGTCGTCAAATTCTCCCATTATTTTGAAGATCAAGAAAATATTTACATCTTTCTGGAACTATGCAGTCGAAAGGTGAGCCATTGCATAACCCTATAGTCTACTGCATCTGCCTTTTTTATGTCCCCCCCCATCCAGGCCTGGTCTCAAGTGGGCCGTGATCGATAACCTAAGCGTTTAGCATGTGCTCAGAGCCTAGTTCACGCTGATGGATGTATATTTGACCGTTCCCCCATTGTCCCGTCTCTCTCTGCAGTCACTGGCTCACATCTGGAAGGCAAGACACACGCTGACGGAACCCGAAGTGCGCTATTACCTCAGACAAATCATATCTGGTCTCAAATACCTCCATAGCAGAGGAATCTTGCACAGAGATCTGAAACTAGGTAAGCACGTAGCTCATGGCATAGCGGTCCAATGTGTTCACACATGAAGGCATCCCTGGAATCCACGCCCACTTTTGGCCATAATGTGGAATGCTGACGGGACAAATGTATGTTTCTTTCTTTCAGGCAACTTTTTTGTTAACGAAAACATGGAGCTGCGTTTAGGAGACTTTGGACTTGCTGCCAAACTAGAAACTGTGGAGCAGAGAAAAAAGTAAGATTTTTATTTTTAAAGCTATGACTCTAGGAATATTGCTCGACTGCTATTGGTTTCGTTGGCATAGTTAAAATGTCTTCATAAGCGCATTCTTTGTCCGACCTGCCTTCTCCGCTAAGAACCCCGCTCAACTGGTTTCAAAGAGTCTGACGGTTGCGATAGGATAATGGTTTCATGTAATGATTCATGTTTGTGGAATGCTTTGAGCCTTGTGAAAGTAATGCCATCTCTTGTAAGGTTAAACGTGTTTTTTTTTTTTTTTCTTTCAATAGAACAATTTGTGGGACTCCTAATTATTTGGCCCCAGAGGTTCTCAATAGACAGGGACACGGCACGGAATCCGATGTCTGGTCGCTTGGGTGTGTCATGTAAGTTGTAATTTTGAATTGAAAAAATAAAACCTTTTTTTACTTTTGTCAATCACTTTTTCTAATGTTTTAATATTCTTTTTAGGTACACGCTCATGTGTGGTAACCCCCCATTTGAGACCCTTGATCTAAAGGAAACTTACAAATGCATCAAAGAAGTGCGCTACAATCTTCCCTCCACACTTTCCCCTTCGGCTCAGAAGCTCATCTCCAGCGTCCTACAGAAAAACCCAAGTGACAGGCTCACTCTTGATCAAATTCTCAACCACGAATTCTTCACCAAAGTAAGTAAAGACTCATTTTGTGTTGATAAATGGTGCATGTGACTTTTGATGGACCCTTGAAATGCTTCATGGCTCATCCTTGGCCTCACATTCAAGTGCTTCTTTTCCCTTCAGGGCTACACTCCCGATAAGCTCCCTCCCAGCAGCTGTGTGATGGTGCCAGAGCTCCACCCGCCAAGTCCTGCCAAGAAATTTCTCACAAAAATGGCCAAGAGTCTCTTTGGCAAGAAGAAGGCAAAAGGTAAGATAACCAGTGTCTATTTAGTTAAACCTAGGGCAGGAGGATTATAAACTGTAAAATCAATTCGTCTTGAGTGGACTACTCTAACTTTCCTGAATCAATGTTGTGTTCCAGTGGAAAAGATGCCCTGTGAAGACAAAGATGACAAGGACATTTCAAAGCTGGTGTCTGGCATTGTCAAATGTTCAATCAATCGGCAGATCAGCTACAAAACCGTGGGACCAAATGAGGTATGTTTTTGCTAATTAATTTAAACTATTTTGAGAAGCAAATCTCATGAGTTGATAAAAGACTCAAAGAAAAAAATATGACCTAATGCCTTTGCTATTTTGGAATTAACATAGTCAAACTATTTTAACAAGCAGGAAGTAAAAAATATTTGTACAATGTGATTCTCAGAAGTACCAGTCTGTATCTATCACTGCACTTCAGAAGGGCATACTGCAGAGCATTTTCCACATATTTGTTATGAGTCTTAACAGTCTGGAACTTGTTGGTTGAGTAGTACATTTGTGTTGTGTATGTACTAAATAATGTCTTGGTCTGCAGGCTCCCTCCCCCGCTGGTCAGCTGGTCAGCTCAGTGCCTCTGGAGCAGACCCCTGTTGAGGAAGAATCCAGAAAGTCCATCTCTCGCTCCTTTAAAGGCACCATGGCCAGCAGCTCTGAACGTAAGCTTAAATCCCTCTTGAAGAGCGTGAAGTTGAGTGCCTAATGCTAATGCTAATGCTAACAGATCACATGTTTCTTTGTGTCTCCAGCCTGTGATGACGTGCTCACTCCAGCAGCTGTTGCTGAAGCGGCCATGAAAGTTCTGAACAATGTCTTGGCAAACATGCCAGCAGGTAAGACCAGTGATGCTCGGCCTAATGCTTTTAGTGCAACAAAAATGTTAATTGTACAATGTTATGTCTACTCTGCAGCTACCCGAAACCCACCCTGCCTGTCCAGGCCACAGTCCTTCCTGTGGGTGACAAAATGGGTTGACTACTCAAATAAATATGGTTTTGGATACCAGCTGTCCAATCAAAACATTGGTGTGCTGTTTAATGAGGGAACACATCTCAGCCTTTGTGACAAACGAAAGTACGTGTCTCTTACAGTCTTTTACTTTCATCACTGTGCTGCTCATGCCGTTTCCTGACTTTGGTCTCTTGGTTTCTGAAACAGGGCCGTGCATTACTGCTTGACCAACAACAAACACTTTACCTTTGCTGCAAACTCATTACCCGAGCAGCTCCGCAGCCAGAAACAAATTGTAGAACTTATGGCCAACTACATGGAGCAGAACCTCATGGAGGTAGGTCTTGTTCATGAAATGTTCAATTTGTTTAAATGAAACTAGTGTACACTGACACCAAACATGTTTAGGGTGGTGATCTACACTGTGAAGACCAGGCTTCTGGTCCGCCTCCACTACTGCTCCAATGGGTCAAGACTGATCATGCGCTTGTCATGCTTTTCAACAATGGCACTTTACAGGTTTGGATCTTTTAGATAGTTTTATGTCATTCCATATGTCTATACTTGAATAATGAATATTGTTTTGTGTTGCAGGTGAACTTTTACACTGATCACACCAAAATAATCCTGTGCAAGTCATCGGATGACTCTTACTTGCTGACCTACATCAGTCGGGAGCGGATGTCGTACACGTACTTATTGAGCATGCTGAGTGAGCTGGGCTGCACCGCCGAGCTCCGGCACAGACTGAGGTATGTGGTGCAGCTGCTGCAGCATCACATGGACGCCTAGGGCCCTCAAGGACAGAACTCTGTGGGACAGTGAGCAATATCTTCACCTGGACTGATGCTTAGGCAGCTCATTATTGCATTAACATGTGAAGGGTCAAAACGCACTGCAAACCTCACTTTGGGGAGTCTCAAAGGGTTGTGCCTGGACAGCTTTTTGCCTCTGGTCTTAAAACGTGAGCTGGCCTGATATGGATTCATCACTGACAGATGTCCGAATCAACTCTCAATAAAACTGGCTTCTTGGATGGATGCAACAAAAGAAACCAACCATTTGTGTCGCTCCCAGCCTTCCCAGTATCTTGAGCATGGTTTTCCTGAGCCATCAATAAGAATCCATCGCTTGCATCTGATGTGGGATGTCCTTTCAGCAGGACGGCCTTTCCCTGCAGTGGTGTAATTACATCGTGGATCTGGAAAAGTTACTGAGCAGATGCTGTGGTGTGAGAGAAGAGGCCCTTCTACCCACAGATGGAAACTAGCCTGTTGACCTTGAAGCGCACACACATTTGTACTTTATTTTAAAATGCAACCATTGACTCTCACTACAACTACATGCACCATAGCATTCCTTGCCTTTAGCCATGAAAGTCTTACTCTGCTCAATCACTGTTTAATCAAGGAATAGCTGGTTGTCCAATTTATGTTTCTCACAATCGGTACACCGCAAACGGGCAAAAATGGGATCAGACACTGTCTTGCACTTTTTTTTTTTTTTTCTCCATGCAACAAGCATTTTTAGTACCACTCGTTTTATCTTTTGCTTTTAGCCCGATATCATACGTTTTTAAAATCTTGTTTTAAATTCACAGTATGTTCCAAATGTGTATGCCACGTGTGCTGTCAGTTGAGAATGACAAAGTAAGGAGTAGGGGGCGAGATATAAAGTGCCTTTCGGAGGGATGTCTGTATAGTGCAATAACTAATTCTTGAATGTCAAGTTGAATAAGTTCGATGCGACATTGTAGATGGGATTACAAGCGGGGGCCCACTTCTTGTTCTGTAAAGAAGTTCTCCCCATAGCACTACACTCATACCCGGTATAAGCTTTTTTAGATCAACTGGTATTCTAACAATGTATATCCCAGTAATGTCTATATCGGAAAAAGAACACATTGTACTCTATCGTACTGTACCGTAATCCTTATCGGTTTACATTGCTTTTCTTGACCCAGAGTTGTATCTTTAAAAACTGTGACCTGGAATGCAAGTATTATGTACAAGTATTGTGTTTTCAAAGCCATCTGCCAGTTTAAGAAGAGTCTTTATTTTTGGCACATATTGTCTTGTTATTTATTTTTATTTATACATTTTTTTTTAATTTATTGTGCAAATGTTTGAAACGGTCTTGACACAAGGAAATGTTCAATTCCGATCACCTTTTTGTATGTAACGTATTTGGGGAAGATGGGATTAAATAAACATTATTGAAAGCAATTTGTTTTGGACCTGATGGTGTGATGATTAACTTATGTAAATGCATTCATCATCTTACTGATGAAGTTACAGATGGGCCAATACATATACTTGGCACATCCGTACTTTAGTCATTCTTCTGATGACTGTCAACCAATCCTGTTCCATTACCATTTATGGAATAGTATGTTTTACACTGCTGAAGACCGTGTGAGTATATGTAGAGCTTGAATGACGTTCACATTCTTGACATTGCTAACAAATTGTTACCTGCTAAACAAGTTAGTCTTTGTCCCATTTAAGTGCTCCAACTGACAATGAATGTGGAAGCTTGTGTGCAAGTAGACTTTGAACTTGGCGAGAAATTCTCTTACCATGTTATGTTTTTATACACGCTAAAATGAGGTGACTCTCAAAGTGTACAGCGATAAATAACTTAATGCTCATGCCCAATTCAGTAAGTACTTGACCTGTAAAAATACGTTCTCAAAATATCTGATTTATTACAGAAGCACTGATCGGTTGTGTCAATGTTTATTTTTGTTGTCATGCTGAGTGTGCAACCAAAAAGCAGAAATGGCATGAGTGACATAATTTGGGTTGCCAGTTTCTGGTGAAATCCAGCTGGTTTTGTCTCTACCTAAACCAGGAACATTTCATTACATTAATCAGGTTTGTGTAGTATAAAAGTACCGATGTACATCTACCTTACACACACTTTCTGGTGGCTAGTGTTTTTGTCAAGTGTAAACATGTTTTTTAATGTAGGTACGGTGTGTGTGTGCTTAAAATGCAGGGCAGATAAACTTTGTATTTTTGTAACATTATAAAACTATTGTACATACTGTTCCTTTTACCCTAACCCACAATGTCATAAGATTTTCAAATATTACAAAAAAACCTTCGAAAAAATACAAAGGACTAAGCAGTTCAACCAGCATAAGTGTCTGGCTCATAATACACGTTTGGCTCACTTTCCCAAATATTACGTGTTGAATTAAATAATATGATTCAGAAGATGACAATGAATATAATTGTTGCAACAGAAGCCACATGCTATCCTCTTCATTGGCCTTGTGTGAGTCAGTTCAGCTCCCCTCCACCCTCGCTGACTGACAGTGACAGGACAGAGCTGGCAGCCCCCAATGTGACCGCCACAGAGGACAGAGGAAAACCAGGGAGAGATGTGGTCAAATATCCCTTCATCCCGGTTCATATCGGACTATCAGGAGAATGGAGCGGGCTGTTTGTATGGGAGAGCTTAGCTGGAAAACTCAGAATGCTGATAGCTCAACTTTAATTGCAGCGTCTTTGAGTCAGATTCCTCCCTCCTCCTCCTCCCATGTGCGAACCATATGGATATGAAATAGCACAAGATTGTTCGTGAGAAATCCACAACAAGAATGTGAGATGAAATACTGTGAAAAGATCAGTTTCATTATATATTTAAAAATTCTCTGCACTGGCTGTGTATTGCAAATTTTCTTCAGCATGAGCCTTTTAGACTTTTACAGTTACCTACATAGAGGAGGGATTTATGCATTTATTATATAGTAACGCTGGGCTACTTAACTGATTTTGTAAGTCTTGTAAAAGTCTTCATAAGAGCCCTCTCAGTCACTATTTGACGCTTAGGGCTGAAAGCTGATTGGCTGAGTAGGGGCGGTCCTCTCTTCTTTTCACATACTTTTCTGTCTGACAAACCTGATCTGAAGATGTGACAGAGGCCAAACACATACATTTGAACCTGTGAGCGAGGAACCGGTTAGATAGATCATATATTTTTGTGGTTTCATATTTAGGCACTAAAAATATGGTTTTTATTATGTGGGCTTGATCACTTGAATTGAAAGATTGAACAAAACTGCAGTAAAAGCACAACTTAGTGTGAAATCCAGGTTTAGCCGTGCAACTGAAGGATTGTATTTTCCCTCTACTGCAGCTATTCATGATTTGAAAGCCTTGTGTGTGTATTTTGATGCCCTGTTAAGGCCTTTCTTGTTTTGTTAAGGACTTGAGTTTCCTGTTATACAAATATAAACTTACCCCACCTTGCCAAAGCGAATGGATAAGCCATGTTGTTTGAGCAATGAGGAAATAGGCTTTTTATACATGTAGGTGTTGTGACCGGAACATTACTTGCTCATCCAGAACAGTCGTCATTATCCCGTCTCAAAAAACATATTCACGCTCATCTAATCTACAAACGTTATATATTTTGCATTCAACTTCAACCAAGAGTCACGCTGACACACTGCCTCCATAATGAAAGCCAGTTTATGTAATACTCCACAGCATCTGTCGGGGGATTTCTGAGAAGACTTAAGATTTCATTTAAAATAGTTATACGGACAAGAATGTTATTAAGAGCTGTTGAGAGCAAAACCGAGGATATCGTTCACGGGGTATGCCATTGAAATATGCGGCACTGCTTCAGTAGAGCATAAAATCAGTAGGTGTTTAGGAGCAGCATTGTATCCCGGGCTGTGGACCTGGTGGCCACATGCCAGCTTCACTCAGCAGTTAGCCGGTGATTGCTTTTTCAGCTGCTGTTTGCACAATCATCATCTTCCTAACACGTTTTCAGTCCCTCTCTTTGCAATTTCACTTCATAGCAGGCCCTGACAATAGCTGATAGTGATGATGATAAGCTTTAAGCCCCATTCTTCACCAGATATGGGGGTGATCGCCATTGTTTCAGGATTAGAGTGCCGTTTGTCATGTCTCAACGCATGACTACAAACTTTGGAGTGGTACTATTACTGAGACTAGTTATGAGTACGACTACTGCTGTATGTAAGAGGACGCTGTGTTATTTTAAAAATAAATTGGGCTGAAAAAATGAGCCATTACTAAATATTTTTAAAGTTTGCTGAGGGTGTCTATGTATATATTGACCATCAAGGCCTACCATCTTTTACTGTATTACAGAAGGAATGCTACGGATCCATGGAAATAGATAGATGGCAAGGCAAGTTAAATTGTATAGCACAAATCATACACAAGGCAACTCAAAGTGCTAAACAAAACAAGATAGCATTCAATTCATAAATAATCACAGTACATTAAAAAGAAAGATACAAATATAAAATCCCTCAGTTGTATGCACAGCTAAACAGAACTGTTTTTAACCTGGTTTTAAACAGAAAAGGCCTGTCTCACGTTTTCAGGAAGAAACTTTATTGATCTCACACTGGAGAAATTCCATTCAAATGAGTTAACCTTGAAAGGTTACATATCCGGCTTGAAAATGTTGGGGTTTTTGTTGCCAATTTGTGAGATTATGAGAATAATAACGTCTCATTTTTTTTCTATTAATTATGAAAGGTTGTGACGCCATTTTTTCTCTCTCAAATGATTGTGTTTTAAATGTTCAATTAATAGTTACAACAGAAACTACTATAAATGACCCTGACTGAAAGTCTCCATTCCCCAGTTTTCAATGGTGTGTATTTCCCTTTAACATGTTGGGAGTCTTTCGGGGGGTGTGGGGGTGGGTGTGGATGCTGTTCTTTATCTTCTCCGATGATACAGCTGCTCATTCTTCTCGGCAAAAACCCTCCAATTCCTGTAAATTCCTGAGCTGCC